CATATGTTTTTCTCAATTTTAAGGATTATTTAATGTGATTTAATAATTGCATTGATTTTTAAATTTCTCAATTAAAAGATGTAAGTGTTACATTTATCGGTTTATAGTAATTATAATAAACATATCTCATTGATAAATGCTATAAATACTTATGTATTATTTTTCGATGTAAAAGCGCAACAATATAAAATTATGATACGAGATTAATAATTTAAAAATAGCTGGAAAATGGAAGAACATTTTAGAGAGAATTAATGAATCATCTGTATTGAATAAGAAATGATATCGAAACTTGCATATTAAACAAAAATTATGTGATCAAATAAAATAATTGATGAAATGGGTTTCAAATAAAATTCTTAGGTTTTCGTATATTTAATTAGTATGATTTCATCAGTTTTATAATGAAATAATGTCGACAAATTAGCAATCCAGTGCGACAGACAACAAACACAATTTACATTTGATGATTTATTAAAACCAGTCAGATTTTTTATCTCAGAGAAGATTGATAGCTGAACTAATACTTGCAAAATAAAAAAATTCAGACCGTGAATATGTAACAAACTGACAAATGACGAATGCAATTTATACCTCTGTTGCAAATCAAGCTGATATATTTTTTAATGACCTCAGAGATTATCTTATCGACGGCATAAAATAGTTTCAAACTTTGCGCTCATCGACCGAAATATCATTATGATTGAATCGAGTGGGATCCCAGTTCCGAAAGGTCACAATGTTCTCTCGATACAATAGTGTGTGTTGTTATATTTTATTAGCGTACGGAATAGCGTCGCGACGACGAGTTTCGCTGTTTCGCGCGGCACTGAGGAGCGCCGGTAGCTCATTCATCGCCGGCACCCCCGTGAACGCACGCCGACGACGTCGCGCAGGCGTTGCACCCTCGTCGTTGCTCGTCCTTCGGTCCCCGGTGGCGTCGTGCGACACATCACCCCCGCTGTGGGGAAGAGGACATCAGAACACCGAGAAAGAAATCGAGAGCTCTCTCGCCGTGCGCATTTTCTACGGAGTGGCGCGAAACGACGCGATCGAGGTGGCAAGCCGTGATGATTTATCACCGCGACGTCCTCGCGGGAAAAAGGCGAGCCAGAACGATATTCGGCCACGATTTATGGAATCCGAGCGGACAGAATTTCTCCGTTGCGCCAACAACTCCGCGGAAAACGTCATGTTTTGTTTCGCGAAAATGTAGATGATTGGAGTGGAGTAATAAGAACGGCGTGAGAAGTCGAGTACGGTGCTGATGTTCGAAACGAAGATAAAAACCGATACGAGGATCGGGTAATTTTTACACTTAATTTTTATACGGGAGGGAAAACTTGGCGCTCGTTGTCGCGGGATAAAGAATTCAGAGCGCGATTGAGAGAAAAGTTTTTGACATTTGTGTATGATTGCATATAATAGACACAAACGTCAAAAATTTTTCTCTTATAATGTAGGTTTCTACACTGAGAAAGAAATGCTGTTGATTCAATTAAAGTTTATATTACGGGCTGTCACTGATATAAATAATTAATTTATGTATATTTTGATTGACATAAAGCCTTAATTATTGAAATAATAATTTATGTCAATAAAAGTATAGTTACATGAATCACTTATGTTAGTGACAGCCCGTAATATATAGACTTCAATTGAATCAACAGCATTTTTTTCCCAGTGTAATTACCCTGCTAATTGCACTCTTTGCATGCTTATCTCTATACATAAAGTTATAGAAAATCCGATTGAAGACACTCAGTGCACATTAAAGCCGTCGTATACAAATTGACATAAAAATCTGTGTTTGATTTAAATATAAAAACGGATTAAATCATAAAATTCCCAGTACACTTTACTGTGCTGTTAAGTAAAATTTATATAATATTTTATAATTCGAAATATTTGCATATTATTTTTAAACTGATTAAACCAGTGTACAATGACTTTAATGTGCACCGGTGTATCAAATTCGCTATTAATCTAATAAAATCCGAAATTATCGTGAAACTATCGTAGATAGCACAGTTATAATATACAGTAGATTCGCAATTACATTATAAACAAGTTAAATGTACTCGCTAGCGTGGATATTACGTAACGAATAAAATTCAGTAATTTCATTGCGCGTAGCAAAGTCTTTGGTGAATTCAGTGTAATATAACGGATCTCCCCTCCTGGACAGTAATGCACTGCCATCCGCAGTTAAAGGATCGGAAGCAGAAACAGAACCGCGTCGTTCTCGAGAAGACTGCGATAAAGCAAGTTTCTAACCGGCTGTTATACTTCATTCCAAGTTCCACTGTAACTCCGGCGGATATTTGTGCAATTAAACAGCCGTACGTTTAAGCCGGTTTCATATCGGTCATATCAATTAAGTGCGTAGTTGAAGCTTTCCTTTTTGCAACGACTCGATCGGAACACTAGATCGCGATTCACGAGTGAGAGTATTTATTCAAGAAAGTGAACTCAAAGGAATCGTGTTTCTCAACGTTTCAGTTATAGTCTATTTTTATGTTGAATGACGTATAAAGTGCCCATTCGAGTCAGAACATAATATGTAATTTTATTTTTATTTTCACAAACTGATAACCAGACTCCGACTTGAATATCTCTGTGTTGAAATATTGTGTGTCTCCATTGAGAAATGGACTTTAGGATACGATAAGTATTTCAAAGTCAATGACTCGACTGTGCAGCTGCATGGCTAGTCGTGATTATAATTATACAACTCGGTAATGAATGATTTTTCCAAAAAGGAATAACACCCAGTGATAGTGATATAAGTCGTTTACATAACGCTGATTTGACAATATAATACTAAATACACTATTAATTCGGAACTCAGTCCAGCCGAGCGCACTGAGTCGGCATGCATCTGTCAATGAAATCTCACATTTAATACTGAATGTACGCTGTATATGTCATACGGTTCAGCTATAAAACGTTGTTCCATTAAATGAGTCTATCTTCTTTTAAATTGTACCTTGCATAATACAGAAAAAAAAGTTTTTTTAATTAATCATCTTGGATATTTTTATACATTTTATGATACGTGTGAAGTACAGGTAAAAATTAAACGTTGTAAAATGATAATTTAATTAAAAATGCTAAAGTAATCTAAATTGTACTTAAATCAGCAATTAATAAAAAATTTTTTAATTTATTGAATTGAAATCACACTGATTTTCTTAATTTATATACGTCGTACAATTTCTTTGTTTCTTACTTCGATCGGTCGAAATAAATATTAACCTTTTACAATATTTAATTTAATTTTATATAATTAATGTGTATATAATTATACATTATTTCATTAATTAATATATATAGTTAATAATTTACATAATAGTAACACTTGTAGCAAATTGTGATCAGTAATTTTGGTGATTATTTAGAAGTCATTTTATTCATTTGTTTTAAATTTAAATGAACACGTTTTATTGTTCGACACTGTTGTGTTCGCAAGAATAGTTAATGCTTATCAGCGTTAAAGGAGTCCAGAAGGAATTTGCTTATCATTCGTTTTTAGAACAAAACACATAACTGTGCGAAATTGTTACGACAACGTCATTTTTTTGCATAACTTAAAGAAGATAGCTTATTGGATCAAAACGGGACAATTTACGATGACACAAAAGTGAGTAAGCAAAGGCTTCGAGTTGTGTCAAACGAGATCGCAAACAGAACGGTTTATTTTCCTCCTTTCTCTTCCGTCTGCATTTTTCCCGTCAAAAGTGGATTGCATTGCTCTGTACGTACAGATTTGGAGAGCATTTCATCAACAAGTCACTAGGGATTCGTGTTGCTCTTACTATTTCATTGTATCAAGATCTCAATTGAAGGACTAAGTGGATATTTTTTATGAGTAAGTAATGCTATATATAGAGAGATGACAGTTAAAATTGAATTCATAAAATACGATATTAATCCCCTGTAAATGATTTGAATTTTTTTTCTGTATATTGTTTTAAGTTGCGTTCCGTTGCACGTGTATGACATGTCATGCGCATATTTTTATCTTTGTTTAATACTTTGCAAACAATAAGGATAAAATGATATCTGATGGTAATGGAACTTAGTCTTACAACGAATTCAGTTGGATGCACTCAGTGCACACTGGTGCACATCAAAGCCGTCGTATACAAATTGATGTAAAAGTATGTGTTTAATGTAAACGTAAAAACGGATTAAACCATCCTTAATACAGTTTATTTGTACTGTTAAATAAAATTGTATTTTATAATTCACAATATTTACATTTTACTTTTACACAGGTTAAATCAATATACAATAGCTTTAATATGCACTAATAAATCCAACCGAATTTGCTAAATTTTCCTTTATTATCGGTCACGCAATTGCTTTTTATATAATGTGTTAGACACCAATAAATTTCTTTTCTTTTCTTTAATATTTTGAAATTTAACAAACCTATAAAAATTAATCAATTAGCAACTTAATTTTTAGAAAAATTAAAAATAAAGGATATAGTTTATTTTAAAATAAAAATGTAATGCATAATAAAATCAATAAAAATCTTAAACATAATATATAATTTTAAAAATGTTGAGTTTATAGTAATAAATAATATAATACATTTCAATTTGGTCTGTATTTTAAGTTTATAAAATAATACTATCAGAATATTGTAACAACTTTCCATTATATAGTGTGTAGTTTTTCAAGTGAAATTATTGCGATTGTTTAATAAAGTATTAGACTAAGAAATTAATCAGTTTTATTTGTTATAAAAATGAATATGCAATTAATTAAATCATACGCTGTACATAAAAAATATGTTAATAGATTAATGAAAGAAATAACCAATATTTTGACAAAATTTGTTTAATAATCGTGAAATATTAATGTATTTCTTTAATAAATTGTTATATATTAATCTCATGAAGAACACCCGCGTAAAAACATTTTGAAAAAAGAAAAAGATACGTTTGATCACACCTTATTTCAATTGGCATTACACATATGTGATAAAAATGCATGCATCGTAAAAAAAAATAAAGTTCAATCTGCTTTTAGTGGCCAAGTGGTACAAAAAAAATAAATACAGCAAATATGCTGTGCGAAGATTGCCGGTTCTTGACTGGCTGTCGCGATACAGACCCACGTGGTTCTTGCAAGACGCATTGGCCGGCATCACGGTCGGTCTCCTTGCTGTACCGCAAGGCATTGCTTATGGTGCTCTCGCTGGTTTAAATCCCGAGGTAAATATCAAGAAAAAGAGAGCGGCCGCCGCATTAATCGTGTATCGAGTTATCCCGTAGCACATATAAACGCTCCTCTGTTATAAATTTCAGAGGGATAAAATGGAATTTTTTAGAGTAACTCTGACGGTGAAAGTAAATCAAGAAGTAACAACAAATATGTCTGTATTCAGCATAACTCAAAAATACTTTCTGTTTAATTTAAATCAAAGTATTATTTAAAGGAATTTACTTTTGAAATAATATTAGAAATTCTTAACGTTTATATACTGATGCGTAAAATAAAAACATTAGTTCAAAGTTATTGTTTTTGGTATCTATCGATGTCATTTAATATATTTAGTTAATTATCTTAATGAAAGAAATGTTCATTTTTAAGAATATTTTATATTTTAAATTTATGAAGGTTTCTGAAAAATATTTTATTCTTTAGATTTCCAACATTTCGTCGAAAATTATAAAATGAGAAATTTCACAATTTTCAGAATTCACGTATATAAAAAAATTCTAAAAGAGATGTAGACTTTCTCGACATTTCCAAAAAGTGTTCCAGTTCCGATAAAAAACCTGAGAAATTATTTAAAAAGTTATAAAATTATATAGAAATTCTGTAAAAAGTTTAGAAACGTATATAAAAATGTTGTAAAATTAAATGATTAAAAAAAAAATTTCGCCAAGATATTGATTAGGGATGGAAACTGTTACTTTTACCATTACTTTTTATACTAACGATATAATAACAAAATGATGTTGCCATTTTTTATGACGGTAATAATAGCTAACTAAGATTATAAGAAAATCATTTTTAAAAAGTAACTTATCACCATTACGCGTTATTTATTGAAAAAAATAATTTCATTATTCGTTATTTTTACTCGTTACTTTATCTCGTTATAAGTAATATCTTTTTTCAATGAATGTGACAAGTTACTTTTAAAAAACGACTTTTCCCCAATTTTAGTTTTTAGTTAATTACCATTATCGCCATAAAAAAAAAATTGGAACATTATGACCAAGTCATTATTATAAAAATAATGATAAGAGTAACGGCATTACTTGTTTACCATTCCTGATATTGATATACAGAATGTCTCATAACCACCGCATTTTTATAGTGTATTCTAGAAATAAAGCAGATTAAAAAATCCTAGTACGAAAATGTCAAGGTCACGGTAGTTTTTTAATTATACTCGATCAAAGATAGCCAGTAATATCGCGTAGAAGCACTTAGGCTCGTAATTATGCGCACATCGATCTGATACTGCATTTACAGTTATAATATTAAATTTCTTTATTGCGCAACTGATTAGTAATAGCAATTATTGTTATTAGAATAATTAAATCTAACATAAAAGTTTCATACTTGAGAAATAACATGAAAAATAATATCTACCTCTAGAATGCGCTATAAAGATACTGTACGATAATTGTAAGATTTTGTATGTGCACGATTTTTAATTAATTTAAGTGATATCTTTTTAAAATAGTCGTACTTTATTTCTCTGTGTATAATTATGACATTCTATGTATTTTATAGTACGGACTGTATGCGGCATTTATGGCATCATTTACATATATCATTTTTGGTACGTGCAAAAGCGTCACTATTGGTCCAACAGTTATTATGGCCATCATGATTTATCCTTTTGTCGAAAAATATGGTGCTGATATGGCTATATTAATTACTTTTTTGAAAGGATGCATTATTGCGCTTTTAGGAATTTTTCATTTAGGTATGTTTTTTTATTCATTTAAAAGTAAAAATAAGTATCGTTCCCTTTAAAACATTTAAAAGTAAACAACTTAAAAGTAAAAAATAAATACGTTCCTTTCAAAACACAACTCAAAAAAATGCATGATTTTTTAATTATTAGTATTATTACCATGAATGAGTTAAGTAAACGTTATCGTATCAATGCAATCATCAAAAGTGAACTAACTACATCATAAAAAATCATTACAATTTTATAAAGATTGTGATTATTTTAAGATTGTAAAACAAAAATGACAATTGATTAAGTTAAAATATGTTTATTTTGCCGATATTATTTGATTAGTCAATCATTTTCTGTCGAAGTTGAAAAACAGTTTTACTCTTTTTCTGCAGAGAATCTTGATTTTTCAGTTGTCAACAAATAAAAGTTTCAATAAATAAGAAAGTGATGTATTATGACATTTCAGAGTTTAAATGCGATAATGGCAAAATATTGTTGCTACATTGTGCATCTTTTTTGTTCATTTTAAGGGTCTTTGCTGGATTTTATATCGCTTCCTGTAATTACTGGCTTTACTTCAGCCGCAGCGATCAACATAGCGTTTTCCCAATTTAAATCGCTACTAGGCATTCGCCATACAGCCGAAAGTTTTCTGGATTCTGTGTGCGCAATTTATAAGTATCGTAATGAGATCCGGTGTCCGGATACATTGTTGGGAGTTGGTACAATCATTGCATTAATTTTGCTCAAGGTATAAATTCTATCAGCATCGAAAGTGCAAGTTCTTTTAAAATTAAAAATTTAATTCTCTCGTTCCATTTAAAAGAAAATATTTAAAAAAGGGGAAAAATACAAAAGGAACATATTTCTTTATTTACATCTTTTTAGATAAAAATCAGCCCTTTTTAACATCTTCCTTTTACAAAAAAAAAGCGATAATTTTATATAACAGAAAGAAATTTTATTTTTTCTAATTATATAGAATATACCAGGACAGCGTACGGGAACAGTTTTGCAAAAAATTGGATGGTTTCTTGGTCTGTTCCGCAATACATTAGTTGTAATCATAGGCACTGTCATGGCGTATATTATCTACATTAACGATCTAGAGCCTTTTATGTTAACGGGTGAGTAGCTAAATCATTTGTCTAATATTAATTTTTTTTTAATTATTACGACTAAGATTACCGGATTTATAAAATATGTTTGGGCATTTAAACGCAGCAATTAGTCACCAGATAATTATAATCAATTACGTTTTATTTCATATTTCTCTATAAATTTCAAATTTACGGAATTCAATGTAAAAGATTTATTGTATTATCGGTATTACGCGTTGCGAAATAAATTTGCAATAATAAATTCTGTTGATTAATCTAAATTTACATCTTTAATATCTCCTTTAATATCTGGAAATGAGATCGACTTTCTACATATACTTTTATTGATGTTAAAATTAGTTGGAATTTATTAACTTTTAAATTATTATTAACATTTATTTATTAATTATGATATCTATTCTTTGAAATAAGATTCGTCAATGGCTGCAAATTCAACAGAAAAAGCAGCTTTGCAGTTGTTGTAAAATTCTTTAATGTGATTAGTTTTGTCCTTAGTTCCTCATTGGATCTAAATGTATAAATTAATCATGTTCAAGAATTTTACAACAGTTGCAAAGTTGTTTTTTCTGCTAAACACAGCCAATGTTGTACAATCATTGCAATAAAAAAATAACTTTTTTTTATCTTGGAATTGCGAAATGAGATAAAAGCGCAGCACAGACTTTTGCATAATGCATAAAAGAATCAACCAATCAGAATCTTTTATCTCCACTTCTAGTGATCTGATTGATTCTCTTATGCGTTATGTAAAAGTGTGTGCTAACTGCTTTGGCCTATAATAGCTTATTCTTGTTCCAAGATTTCGATGTAATGTTAAAAAAAAAAACAGTCTTGCTTTATATGGACAGAAATCGTGAGAAAATATATTTTTCAAAGCAGGTTGCGTGAAAGCGAATAATAGACAAAACGTTTCAGGCACAATAGGGCAAGGTTTGCCATCGATCGCATCTCCGCCGTTCTCCACCTTTCACAATCTAACGTACAATTTTCTGGAAATGACTACTGCAATGAAAACGACGCTATTCACAATACCAGTCGTATCAACTATCATGCACATTGCCGTTGCAAAAGCCTTTGGTAATTAAATTATTGCTGTATCAAATTACTAATATCGCTTTCGCACATTTTTGGAGAATAAAAGCTTTATGGCAAAAAAAGTTCTTCGTATGAAGTGCGTTTATTATACGATACGTTTAACATGTCATGCTTTTACTGTAAAACGTGTAATTTTATTATTTCTTGCCGACGTAATAGCATTTTTTGTTCGTACAAAGTAGAATTTATTTCAAATAAATGAGCGCAAACGAAGTGAGGCTGTTGCATTCATGAAGCAAATAGTTCATTCATATTTCTCCTAGCTCGTTTACTTATAGTAAATTCGCACTACACTGGATTATGTTATATAAAGGCTGCTTTATATTATACCTAAAGCATCTAAATGCAGTAACATAATATAATCAATTTTAGATCTGTTCGTGTTGCTTGCACTTTTTGCACTCAGAATGGTCGCTTCCTCTCTTTTCAATGTCTGATGTATATTTATCTCGTTTTAAGTGTAAATATTTTTTAGAATTTCAAGCAACATGAAAAATTCTTTTGACAATGAAATAATATATGTATATTCTGTTAAATAATGCGACAGTATATCATTATTCATACCACTGGGTATTAATCGTTTAGAATATTTGTGTTTTTTTTTATATTTATAACTTTACTAATTTCATGTATAGCAGTTCTTATATAATAAGCACTAATCTGTGTAATACAAATGATTCAATTTGCTATTAGTCTAATTTTCTGATAACTTTGAATATTTTTATTTTCGAGAATTATAAAAATCAAATTTACTTAATCAAAGGGGTAATAACAGGATTATTATTTTAGCAAAAGGTGAATCTTTGGACATCACGCAAGAGATAATCGCTCTAGGAGCCTGTAATATCTTCGGATCGTTCGTTTGCTCGATGCCAGTTACAGGATCTTTCGTACGAACGGCCATCAATCATGCGTCGGGCGTTAAAACTCCGTTGGGAGGTATATTTACAGGTACATGAGTGGTAAACAAAAGTTTTATCACTTTCAAATTCAACATAATTTAAATATTAATCGACTCGACTACGTAAATGTATTTAAAAACTTATTTGAAAGCTGCTACGTAATAATTAATAAAATAGTTACACTTTTTGATAAAAATTGATATTTTCCGACTATTTGATAATATTGAAAAATATTTTATAATTATTAAATTTATAAAATATTATTTAATACAAATTTTGGAATTGAAAAATCGTAAATATTGAATTTATAGTTTTATCATAAAATCACAATTAAACAAAAAAATAGGCATATGTTTGGTCGTTGTCTTTTGAAAAATTGGAGTAGCAAAAATAGTTTAATTTTTTAACAAAGTGTGAAAATATTTCTTTTTTTTCTTCGAAACGGTGCTTATTAAATTAAGATGTATCAAATGTATACTTAGTCTCTGCAAAAAGTGACTAGAATTGGAAATTTATATTTTCCGCATAAAAATGAATATTTCATATGTTATACATACGAAACAATTCAATAAAATCAATATTTATATTTAATAATAAAATTTTATATAGGTTAAATAAAATTTTCTTCTTAAAGTTCTCCGCCGCGAACACGCCAACGCAGAGTCAGCAAGCAATAAAACCAATGTAAAGTCGGGAGTGTCCACCCTGTCTTCCACTATAGTAACGCATTCTAAAACATGTCTATTTCTTATTCAGATAAATTTTGATCCACATTCTAAATCGTCTTCAAACTTTTTATACTTTCAAATACAGATAAAGAAATCTATAATTTTTTCGTTTTGTCAAAAAATGCGTGTAATACATCTTTAATTATGACAACGTGACCTTTTCAGGCAGTCTGGTGTTATTCGCGATCGGTCTCTTGACCTCTACCTTTCGCTTCATACCGAAGGCGACACTGGCCGGTCTCGTCATATATTCCATGTACTACATGCTCGATTTTCCAACGTATAAGCTGCTGTGGCGTGCCAGAAGTAAGTTTCACAAATTTCTCCTCCTCTCTATCACTTTTTCTCTCTTTTTCTCTCATTCTGGCTGATCCGATTCACCCATGCGCGGTCTAACCAACGTGGCGTCAATGGTCCACGCTGTACAAAAGGAGCTGGCGTCAGCGAGCGCCACCCACACTCGGGATGCATTCGCGGTGCATTTGTTCTCAAAAAGCCCGCGTGAAACAATAATGCTCGAGCGCACCCTTGGTGGCATTTATTGTTAAGACGGAGCAGTGCTTTCCGTTCCCGTTAACTTTTGTCGCGTCATCTCGAGCTCATCTGCAGCTTCGTAGAACTGGCGATATGCGCCCATTTGCAAATGCCATCGACGTTATTCTGCGTGGGCAGAATTTAATAATTTCGCGTACAAATCGAATTAGGATATTAAAAGATTAAATTCCTTATTATCTAAGCAGAATACAAATTATCATGATAACATCCAATGGCTACAAAATAATTACTAAAAGTAATTTTTCAATTAGTAACGATTCGTTTTAACGTCATTTTAATCTTGTCGTGATTTGTGGTGCGATTTGTTTTGCTCGAGCAATTAAAATGGAAACTTTATTACTATCAAATTTATTATCGTTAAAAAAGGTATCTGACAGAAACATAATTAAAATAAATGTAGTAGGTCACGGTTGCTATCTTTCAGCTATCATTGTCCTCCCAGAAATTTACAACCATAATAGAGATTGTAACTTGCTTATTGTTGAAAACTTTTTTATGGCCTTCCTGCTGGAAATATCTTTTCAAAACAAGAAGATCGATGCCACTGTTCTTATACTATGTTATCATTTTCACAAAAAAGCCATCAAAATTTTAGAGTGATTAGTCGGAGATTTTTCTCACCTATCGGAGTGCCGGAGATTCAACGGCAGAAAACCGAAAAAGAATGGCAATAGTGAATGTTATTAAAAAATAGATGTTATACAAAAGTATACTAAATATAACATACTAGATATATCATACAAAATGAATTTAATCTTATTTTGAAAGATTATAATAATATAAAGACATCTCTGTAAAATTTTTTAGAGATCGATTTCTTTGTAATGAAGCTGACGTTGGTCAAAGGCATCTTTCTTGGCTTGGAGTACGGTATCTTAATTGGCATCGTCGCCAATCTTGTAGTATTGTTATATTTCTCAACGCATCCTTCCATTCAGACGAAAATTGAACAGGTACGGTGATAACAGATTAATTAATAGATGATCCTTATCCATATCAAATAATTTAATATACCGCTAATTTAACATTAAATTACGATCACCTTTTAATTCTCTCATTATTCACCTAATTTTTTTATTATCTAACAGTCTTATAAAAATTTTATGTTATTATATATATGTGCTGAAACAAATATTTTGCATATTTTATTCAAAGGGTAATATTTACACCCAGTTCGCAGTAATTTCAATGTTTAGAAATATAACAGCTGTTATTCTTTTGACACGATCGATATGAAAGAGAAGAAATATATTCAACAGATATTATTACGACGCACAAATGGTGCTGTTCTCTGAAATCGCTGACGCTATATTTCCATCTTAATCCAATTTAATTATGTCGTCATCGTTTAAATGTAATTAGAGATTTATCATTTCTTGTCACATTAATCTGCCGCATGTGAAACGATGAAATCAATACATTTCTCGATATTTCTGCTTTTTCTTTTTACAGTAACAAATTCTTTGTTTTCTCATATTAAAAAAATTCTATTATATCAAGGCTTCTGCCTACTCACTACGAATATTAAGATTGATGACGCCAGAAGCGAGAAAACACATTAATGGAAATTTTTGTAATAAACATATTAAAATGGAAATATTTTTGAACAAAACAATATTTGCATTTGTAAATAAAGTACAGTTATAAAATATATCAAAAACTCTCCTGTTATTTTGTGTGTAATAAAAAATTATATTTATAAAATATAATTTTTAAAATATAAATTACAATATTATACTATAAGATGTTATTGTATAAAACACCTTGCTACTTAGGTCCATTTTCACAATATATGATTACCTAAAGATTAAAGGTTACCAACAGATTCATCAATGAAATTCATTCACCTTTAATCTTTAAATAACCATATATTATGAAATCGGACCTTAGATTGTTTTGTTTTTTGGTTAGGGATATATAATTATATTTCAAAAATATTTATATTTATAATTATTTATTGTTTACTGGGATATAAGGGGACTTTTCAATATATTTTACAAATCTATTCTATTAATTGCAAATGTTGTTTTACATGAATAACAGATCTTTTTAAATCGGCAAATAGCTAATTTAAAAATATCGTTTCTAAATATATTTTCTGTATGGTCTGGAATATTTTCTTACTGTACAATGACAACTCATTGATATGATGAGCAGATGATACCTTATTTTTCTTGTCTTAAATACAGATCGAAGGGGAAACTGTAATAGTCATCGTACCTGAAGAAGCAATAGCCTTTCCAGCAGCAGAACGCCTGCGTGCTACTGTAATGAAGGTTTCTGGAGAAAGTTCATGCAACATGATAATACTTGACTGTAAGAATTTGAAGAGGCTCGACGTTACGGTTGCTGAGGTATATATGAGATTTTGTTGGTGTTCTTGAAAGATACTAATATCAATATAAAATGCTTCTTTAAAATAGCGAAAGATTCAGAGAAAAGAACGGAAGCAAAAGGAAATAACGATAATAGCTGAACAATATCTATCTGTATCTCTCGAGTGAAATAAGATGATTAAAATTAATTATTTTGCTGTCAGTTAAACTTTAGAGCTGTTGAGATATACGTATTAAGATCATTAAATAAATGATTCGATTAGAATTATATACATTAAAGAATGATGCATTAGCAATGATACAGAGCGTGTCTAAATAAGAGTGAAAAATTTTAAGAGGTGATTTTTTGCCAAAAATTAAGAAGAGTTTTTCATATAAATATATACTTTTATATATCCTCCCTGAGGAGTTATACTCCATCAAAGGAGAAATCAAAAAGTAAGTTTTCATTCTTTTTCAAATTTTGGACAAGTTAGAAAAATGAAATTTAGCGAACTTTTTTCACAAATAGAAAGGATACTTATTATAATATTTTTAGAAAATAAAAACTTAATTTTTATCTTCCCCTTTGAAGAAGTGTAATTCCTTAGGGAAAGATATGGAATTATATGTTTATATGTAAGAATCTCTCTCTTAATTTTAAAAATCTCCTAATTACATTTATTTAGCAATATCCTGGCAAAAATAAAAATTGTAGCATAAGTCAAATAAAAAAGAAGAGCGATGAAAGCGTAGTAAAACTTTCAGAAGGTGTAAATTGAAACAGTGAACTTAAAAGGGTTATTTACTTCTTAAATGCTTCTTTTACGTGCTGTTCTGTTCCAATTTATGCTTCCTAGAAACTTCATTTACGCTGCTGTCATTTTGCACTTACATTTATAGTTCGATTTTTATTTTCGCCAGGATCCTGCTATATCTATTAAGAAGAGCATAAATAAAATTATTAAAAATTAACTTTGCTTTCAATATATAACTACAATAGCTATATATATATAT